CAACCCAACAAACCAGCAGAAACAAACTCGGAATTTGACCTGCTGAGTTTTATGTCAGCTTCTGTTGTGGCTTCCTTTGAATAAAATTTGTCCCAAGTAACAAAAGCTGTCAACATAGTATTTCTTTAGGTAACCATTCTGTACTGGCTCAGTTAGCTCTCATTGCAGGCAGTATGCATCCAAAATGACTCTACCAAAAGCATTTGCATGTGGTTGAGTGAACAGGCACAGCCTATTCTGTGGAACAGGCAAAATTACTCCTCATGGATATCACTCTTGCCCTCTTTTAAATTTTTATTTTAAGTATACGTCCAAGTTTAAGCTGTTTGAATTTCTGACACATCTTATGCTGTGTTACCATACCGCAAAGCTTCGTTTTTAAGATGTGTTGAACCTCAGTTTTAACATAAGATATACTTTGGACTAGAACTTTTAATTATACTTCTGGTATAGGTGGATTCTCTGCCTTTCCCCCCTCTTCTTTGAAAATGCACTTTCTGCTTCAAGCAGACAGTGGGAAGTAAAAAGCAGAATTATGAACCAGATTTTCTGTTGCGCTGTGCTAGTATCAGCACTGAGATTATGCTAGCAGAGAATTTGCGACTGGGGAAGTAACTTTGCTTTCATTGGAAAAACCTGCTATCAGCTTTAAGAGAGTCAAGACCGGCTTCTAGAACTTAAGCAGTCTGGCAGCATGCTCTGTAGATTTTATCGAAGGGATGCGTAGACTTAAAAAAGACAACATTACAATGTCTCATGCAACTCTGACTCTTAACTGAGAGGAGACGGGTTTGGGAAAGAAGCAAAAGTGAGGATTTCAAAAATTTTGATCTTTTTCTTTCTTTGAATCTTGAAGCCTAACTTCAGGATAAATTCCCAGTTCTGTCTGACATCTCAGAAAGTTCTGTCTGGAAGTTCAGGAAAGCTGTAAGACAGCTCCAGTGGTCTGGGTTTTATGTGAGTGCATTAGCAAGGTGATCATAGTGCTGAGTGTGAAGGCAGTGATACGATTGCACATCAGGAGAAAGAGTTGGGGGAAGAATATTTACTATTTACCAATGTGCTGTGTGCTACTTTTACGTTTCTTATTTAAAGCAGCTAGTAGCTACTGGTTTGTCTTTTGACTTAAAATGTTGGACAAGGACAGTGATTTGTTGGAGAATGAACAAAAACACCTGTAGTTTTATGTGAATTGCTATGCAAATAGCATCATTTTTGAGATAGGATTTGTCATGAATCTGAATTTGAACCTTGTGTAGCATCATTTAGTTGCTCTCCATGTCTGTTAACTTAAGATAATTTCAAACTATTTAGTGCAGTTCTAAATGGCATTTAAGAAGATCTAGAGTATATAATCCATGTTCCAGAAAGGTGGAAAAAGATAGTGTTACTGCTTCCTGCTTTCATTATATTTTAATCGTTAGTATATAACTGACATTAGCAGAAGCTAACCTATCGTCAGTTTGTGAAAACTTGCATGATCTGTATTACTTTGAAACTTTGCAGTGAAATCAACAGTGAAAATTACTTCTGTCTGAATACATGTTTAAAAGATTGAAAGGATGATAAATACTTAGAGATATTACATGATGTATTTTCCTTTTCAGAGATTCAAATGTTAGGTGTGTAGGATCTTCTTGAAACTGCAGTCTCATGCAAGAAGGGTGTGTGTGAGAAAACAGTTCTAGATCAATGCAAACCCTTAAAAAAATAAGACCTATAAAGTAATCAGAACACATGGTCTAGAGTGATTTGAGGATATTGGGAAACATTTTAAAGATTCTTTTCCTCAGGGTGCCTGCAGTTTCTTAAATGCTGTTTGATATTAGCCATGTCTCCTTTATGTCGTCTTTTCTCTTTATTTTTAAATGTTAAGAGTTAGTTCAATTTGTAGGAAATTGTGTTCCAAATGTCTTTTAAAAATGGGTACAAGTTTGGAAGTTGGATATACCCAGAGAGAGGGTTCTTGGTTCTTGATTCTCGTCTTCTTATACAGATTTGAATCTTTTATGTGCTCCAGAGCAAGCAAAACATCCCCCCTGCCTTTAAAACTGAACAAACAACAACAAAAAAATCCCACACAACTTGGGCAGGCTATATATTTTCATTCCGAGTTTCAACATCATGTTTTAGAGACATGGAGCTTTATTATCATTTAAAAAAGAGAATAAAGAAAGTGAGGCACGAGGAAAAAATCATCAGGACTATTGTTACGAGTTTTGATTAAACTTAGGAAAGCAAAAAATCCAAACTTAAAGCTGACCATTTGGTCTGACAGTGTCCTTAACTGACCATGTTGATCTTACCAGATGGAGTTTTCACTCCACTTTGTATTTCTTTGCTTTTGTGTATTTCAGTCCAGCCTCGTGTCACTGTAGCATAGGGATTTTTAAAATTTTTTTCTTTTGTGGTTTAATTGTATGAAAAAATTTTGTTCTGTATTCTTGGAGCTGTACAGATGGTTCCATGCCAAACATATTTGTTTACCGTGGTAATGTCTGAGTTGTAGTGTGCCAGCTAATAAAGGGATTTATTTAAGGAACAAGGTGAATGACTAAAACAGATGTGCCAGTTGGGTGAACCATTAAAAGAATCTTACTTCTCAGCTTTATGTAAAGGTTATTTTTAATGCATTTCTGAGAAATCAAAAGTGGTTGCAAGGATGTTTTTGAGACAGCTGAAAGCATCTTGTCCGTTTGCTTGGGGGTCTTTTCCTGTGGAGTTAAGACACATTAGTCTTTTCATCTACCTTATTGAAGAATTTGCAAAGACAGCAGGTAAAAGTCCTGAGTTTTGATGTCTGATCAAGTGTTATAATCTCACCGTGGATTTTGTCCTCTTTATAAATTGTATGATTCTGTCAATCTGTTTTAATATTTCTGTAATGTAGAACAAATATGTGTCTTCATTCCATGGAAATTCTGGGTCAACCTGCTGTAATAATACAAAAACCTTACACATCTTTTCTCACACAAATATCAGGTACTCTGGTTTTACTAGAAAATGAAGCACTCTGGTCATTAAGCATTTTAACCAGGACTGATGTAAAAGTGGTTGAGAGAGAAGCTAAAATTGTGAATTAAATGCTGTTTTCCCAAGCACTTAGTCTGTTGCACATCACATTGCCCAAGTGGCTTCCAGAAACTCCACTGATTCCGCTGTTGTTGATATTTTTGACTGGAATGTCTCCTCTTAGAAATTTACTTTTGTCTATTAGAGAGTTATAATTTTGTTTCTTAGGCATTGACCAATTCATTTGGGAAGACTCCTGGAGACAGTGGTAATAGTAAAGAGAAGTTTAAAAAAAAACAAAAAAACAAACCACACCATTTTAATAACATTCTTTAAACTTAAACTTAGCTTTAACTTGTTGAGTGTACAAAATATTTCCCCTGAATAGCCTTTACTTTAGGAGTTACCTTTTTTTAATAGACAAGTAAGGGCTAACTTGAAAAAAAAGAATTTGTTAATTCTGGTGCTTAAGTATGTGGTTTATTTTGAATTAAGCAATTGAGGGGCTACTTAAGGCACACACTGTACTAAACTTGACCACATACTTGTATGACATTTTGAATAACAGTAGATTGTTGTGGGTTTTAGATACTTGTTCCTGCAGCTGTGCTCAAAAAGATGAAACAGTGTAGTCTGTCTGTACCTATCTGTTGCTGCTTGTTGCCTCTTTCTTTATATTTGGCTTAGCAGCTTTTAAGTCACGGACTTCAATTGTTTCATATTCATGCCACTGGGCAGGAGAAAATCTGTCTTCTCTCATTTTTGACTTGTGTGACTGAGTGATGGAAATAGTATACTGCATCTTGTATGCTCGTATTAGTGGCAGTATTTCTGGTTTAGAAATAGCCATTTACATATGTGAAACCTCTCTGGTATTAATAAAGGCAGAATTTGTTCCTTCATTAAGAATAATTGAAATACTGGCTTTCTCATTTTAGGTTAGCTGTGTTTTTGTTTAATCCTAGTACTGAAAAAAATCCAGAGAGAGCACAGAAGTCGATGTTAGCATCTTCAGTGGGTTCCCATCTAGACAAATTTATCAAAGGTTGTCTGTTTATAGGCAACGATTGTAATCTGATCTGAGCTTAAGTAAAAATGAAAAATGTGCCCCCTCATTAAAAATTGCAATTAAGGATTTTTAAGGGGCTTGGTTTTGAGATGAAGCGTCGATCTCAAAGCAGTATGTTTGGTATTAAATTCTAGAGCCATTGCAAGGCAATTAGGTCACCTTTCTTGGGATTTCAGGGCTCTATTCATCATCTTTATTTAAAAACAAAGAAAAGGCTGCTTTGAATTGTAGCTTCCTTGATTATCTGAGGTTTGGGCAGCATGTTAAAGTACTTAAAATACTAATCTGACAACACAGTGTTATGGGGGGAAGTATCATTATGTCTCTAATTTGTGTCTGTGCACCAATCCAATAAGCAACATGGCATTTCTTTCAGTTATTTTCATGAGATACCTGCCCCATTAACGTGAGGATGGCTGTATTTATTTAAGAAAAAGAAAAATTGACAGAATAAATTTTTGTAAATACCTAGAGGTTCATGATACCCATTTCCTGTCAATTTCAGCAAGAATGAGACAACTGAATCCCTTAAAGTTAGCTCCTGCAAAGCTGTCTTGTTTAGCAGTTACTTCAGATAGTCCTATTCCAAGGTGGATTTCAACCCTAACTTTGTTTAGGATTAAGAACCTCTTGACAGGGTTTGGATTTAAAATGTTTAGCTGACCTGATCAACCTTGACATTGAACTGACTGAAACTTGCATTTTATACAGCTTCCAAATGCTGTCTTCATTCTTGAAGGACAGTGTTTTGAATGCAAGGAAATGCAGTGTGACTGGATGTGTGTTGAGTTAGACCTGAAAGAGTTTCCTTCTCTCCTTTGCTGGAGAGAAACGGAATTGTTTTTATTTATCAAGTATGCTGAAGGCTTTTGATCTCATGCTTGGTTAATATTTGTTTTCTTTCCTTCCACCTCTCCAGGCCTTATACACCTATGAAAGGAGCCTTTTCCAATGTGTGGTTTGACAGACATAAGATCTCTAATGATTGTCCAGAACACATTGAAAGTATTGATTCTATGTGCCAGGTTCTTACAGACTTGATCAACGATGAGATTAAAAATGGCATTGCAAAGAACAGGATACTAATAGGTAAGAAAGACTTATATTTAATGTGCTTATTTTAATCTTTTTTAATTGTTAAGAGGTCATCTACTTTGAATTTACTCCATCCTGAAAGCTTGTGAGCATGCCTTGCAGCTGCTGAACAGCCCCTTCAGCAGCCAATCTGCAAGAATATTAAATCATTATTTAAACCTGTATCAAGTGGAGAATGTGGCTAACTGCAAGCAGTGTCCTCAAAAATCATAGAATCATAGAATCATTTAGGTTGGAAAAGA